AAAGATGCCCATCCGTTAAGGGTAGCTCAACTGGCATGCATCTGTTGCATTTTATGCCCTTTTTCTTCCATGTATTGTGGCACAGTAGCTGAGATGCTTTACATCTCTAGCTAACGTGTATAATGATGATGCTGATGATGATGAGGAGGAGGATGCTGATGATGATTGTAAAGTCTAAAAGGAATGTTGATGTATTCCCAACCTGGATTGCTTACATGAGGACATGGTATCTCTATTCCCTAATTATTTTGCGCATTTACACTGCTTTACTGTGTCTTACAAGCGGTTACCATATGGTATATTTATTCCTTTCACTCGATCAGTGACATATCCTTCACGTTTCAAGGTCATTCACATTATTATGTTACAGTGACACTGCCCAAATACTCGTACCGCCCCACGCTTTACAGTTCCTGCTCACTTGCACTACGATTGCAAACCTATTCGTAAGTAATGTACTGTAGTTAATATGTCTTATAGAACCACGGTTACAGGATACTTTGTTTTATTCTTCTGCCCAGACCGTGCGTTAAGTCTAGGTTTATTTGTTCGTAGTTTTTACTTTAGTTTTCGTACGACGTACTTAGTTTAGGCTTCGTATCGTTGGTACAATGTTGATGATGGAGAAGAATCGACTGCTCACCAGACTTGACGGTACCAAACCTGCTGGTCTTGGCGGACTCTACCCAGTGATTCTCAAGTGTCTATCGATCATTAAAATGATGATTATTATACCTGCTGTGACTGACTTGTTTAACAGGTCACCATATAGAGGTTCCTTGCCAAAGGACTGGGAAGGTCCAGTGGTAAAGCACATTCCGAAAGCCAGAGACTCCAGCAAAGTTAACAACTACAGGCCGATTTGTCTGACTCCTATTTTGACCAAGATTGATGAGAAGATCGTAAAGAAAGATCTACTACAGCTGTTCAAATCAAAATATCGACTGACGCCCGCACAGTACGGTCTTATGCTAGGCGATTTATGCTTTACCAACCTACTGGTGACGAGGCATGAATGGTTGCAAGCAATGAATCAGGGGAAGTCTATCGACGTAATCAACATCGAGTGCAGTAAAGCGTACGACAAGGTAAATTGTAGGATCCTCCTCCACAAGCTGAGAGTATGCGGTGCTGGTGGATCACTGCTCCAATGGATCCAAGACTTACCCGTTGAAAGAAAGTGAAAGATACAGGTCGAGGACCATCTAACTGACTGGTACCCCACTACAAGTGGCGTGCGCGGAGGCAAGGTGCTGGGCACACTGTGATCTACATCAGCTTCTTCGGTCGCCGGGTGTTTAGACTGCGACAAGTACTCCCAATTGAGGCTACGGTTTACTGCGAAGCATATCTCAGTCAGTCGGATCACTTGGAACGCATTCGAGGTGGAGAATTTCGGTGTCACGTAACAATGCTGATTTTGCACTCAATCGAACTGGTCTGATAGAGATAACTCTGTATTGTGGTAAAACCATGGACGCCATGGTTAATGGAGCACTAGATTGACCACTATACTTGTCAATTCCTACTTAAGGAAATTATGTTCTCCCATATATCTGTCGAAACGGATCTTAACGCTATCAAATTGTATCCAACGGGCACGAACGATGCTGAATGCTACTGGTGGCTAATGCCAGTTCAGCCAATAGCATCTCACTCTCTCTGTACCCGTCTGTTATACACTCGGCTGATTTGGGATTGGTTACTCAATGGATAGTACACATTTTCAGGAGCATTCTGCAATTTGTGAGACCATCTTGAAAGGAACATGATTTCCTTAAATAGAAATTTGTGGACGCTATGGATGCAATTGGTTGAGGAAAGGTAAAGTTGTACGAAATGGTATCCAGGAATAGGAAGACAGAAGAGTAAGCTTCCGGATACGCAGTGCACAGATTAGGTGCAGATGATCTGACAAGGAAAATGAGAACTGTACTCCATGCTGAACATTGTTTAGTGGCTTCAACTCATTCAACCCTATACCAGTAGTCAGCACAGCTCACAAGTCATCAGTGGCGTTATACTTTGACAGTAGGTATAGCACTCAGTAGATGTCACTGGGGGGCGATGATTTTTTATAACTACGAACGTGGTATAAAGCAGCACTAGAGCGCCGAGCGATTGTGTAGGGCGTTTGGTGATGATGCGCCTTCAAGAACCACCGTGTTTGAGTGGTTTGCGGAATACAAGAGTGGCAGGCGGCCCCGTGCATGATGAGGCACGGTGTGAACGACTTGTGGAGGCCACAACCGCGGACAACATTGCTGCTATGCAAGCGATGCTGAAGGAGGACGCGCGGGTAACTGTGGTACAGCTGATGAAAGTCAGAGGAATCTCATCAGGATCACTCCGCACCATCCTGCATGAGAACCTCGAGCTCATGTTTTCGCACGCTGGGTACCCCATGAGCTCAGTGAGGTGATTTGGGGCCGCACAATGCTTGCAAGGTTTGACGGTGGACGTTCTAATATTGTTTCGGAGATCCTCAGTGGTGATGAGAACTAGGTATACAGATTCAACCCACAGACAAAGCAACAATCGGCCAAGTGGACGGCCGTTGGTGTGACGCCGCCTCAGAAATTCCGCCGTGAGCGCAGTGTGTCTGTGACTGTGCTTATGGTGAAGACCGGTCATGTGGCTAGTGAACGATTCGTAAGGAAACGCACAATCACCGGAAACTGGTATGCAACCCCTGTCTGTCACAAGTTCTGGAAGCTGTAGTAAGGCGCCGTCCCAGGATTTGAGCAGGCTGGCTTGCCGAACAACCTCCTTGTGGTGCCAACTGTGGTTCGGGTTTATTCCGGCGGTAGTGTTCCAGGACGTGGTTGGTTTCTGCCTGACAAGCGTTCTCCCTATAAAAAGCTGCATATGTCCATTTAACAACAGTGCGACGTGGCGGATGTGACTCGCTACTAAATAAAGCCACGGCCCCTTGCTTCACTTCGAAAGAAGCATTGTATCCAGCAACGCGGAGCTCGAAATGTGGGGAGGAATGGGCCCCCGTTTGTCAACCGAATAAACGAAAGGCGTATGAACTGAGCAATCAGACACCGGTTCCCAATGAGCGCAATTCCTTGAATTCACCCCGTTGCGTTGCGGGTAAGCTATTTAGCCAAAGGCTCGGTGTGGTATCCCCTAAGTCAACACCCTACTTCGGCTTGGGCGACCGGGTAGTGTCTCGCCCGCTGACAAAACCATGGATTTCTGTGTTGTGTTCGGTGTTCTTTTAACGATAGCTGCATCTTCTTTTGAGTTCCATTGTTTTTGATGGCTCTTTGTCTATTCGTAGACTGATGTACATATATATATATATATATATATATATATATCGCAAGAGGGACCCGGCTGCATCATGACAGTACACCTGCATACAGGGTCCGTCGTCGTAAATTTTTTGGTTAGAGAACGTATGCAGAAGGTTGTGCACCCACACTACAGGCGAGACTTGGCTCCGCGAGACTTTTTCTATCTTTCCAAATGTCAAGCGCATGATATGTGGAATCCGCTACGAGTCTCCAGAAGCTGCAGTAGAGGCATTTATGGAGCTGCTTGAAGTGTTAACCGCTTCGGCATGGTCTAGCTGTTTCTCTTAATAGTTTGAGCGTATGGAACTCTGCGTGAACGCTGGTGGAGAATACTTCGAGAAAATGCGATGCTTATTTTGTGTATTCGGAAACTTGTTGCTTGTAATGGGGAGACAACATGCCCACAAAATCGCAAGCTGAAACGACGGTAAGCAACGCGACTCTCATTCAGACCAGTGTATATGTTTTCATCAGCCTTCCAACTCATGAGGCATTCACGCTTCGAGCAGCCTTTGTACCTAAAAAAACATTCATCCTTCCGGTCCAGCCTCCGTATCTACCAACATTCACTTCTCGACATGTTACGTCGGCATATTCATATTGTGAGGTCCATCGCAGCCAGTTTCCAAATCAGATAGTCGTCCACATGCCCGGAAAAGCACTAGACTGCAGTTTCGGCCTGTTGGGCATCGTCAGTAGTGCGCATCCATCGGATCCGCCAAGATTCGAACCCATGACCACCAGCGGCTTGAACCGCCAGTCAGCAGCTTATGCCACTGGGCCACGGGGGACAGCTTCGGACCGTCATGATTTACAAGCTAACTGCGATATAGCGCGTCTTATCCTTCACTGCCATGCAAGTTACGAATGTTGCAGAGGGCAGGGTTGGCCCCGAAAGACATAATTACATCAAAATCCCCTACTCATGAGTATATTCATATTGTGCCAATCCACGTGCTTATACTTTGCTTCCAGGGTTCGCTTACGCAAGCCATTCTATGTGAAATTGCACACATTTCACAATCGCGACATATAAGCAAAGCTGTACTGCGCTGTAATCGCTTTGAGCCTAACTGGTAAAAGTGCCTGAGCGAAAGGTGCCTGTCTCTTGTCATATTTCTATCGGGTTAGAGTAGTTGCGTGTGAAATTGCATTCAGTGTAGGAGCCCGTTCAATTCCGTCGTAGTAACCGTGTTGCGCCTAAGTCCCATGTGTGGTACAAAATTCGAGGTTTATCGGTTATTTTGTCGTGCGTGAATATAGTTCCAAGTCACATTCGTTCGTCTGACTAGGAGAGTTGATACCAGACCGTCAGAGAGTGGCATAACCAAGAGGGAGTCATAATATTGGTCTACACTCGTGCATCTCCCATCAGAAAATAGTTCGCGCAGGCACCAAGACAGAAATAATGCTTGCACTGAAAGCATAAATCAGGAGTGGTTTTTGTCTGATGCCATCTAGTGGGAGCGGACAAACAATTGGAGGCCAAAACGCGGGACAAGAAATTACTAGCCGCCGATGGGCAACGGCCAAATAGACAAAGTAATATCCACTAAGAGATGATGTCCAGCGATAAAGGATGGATTATGAGTAAAATATGAAACGTCAAAGGGGAGAAACAAGGAAAACAACAGCGAATTCAGGAATCAAAAACCAACAGAAAATGAATGCGCAAGCACAAAGGTGGAAGCATACCGTAGTAAGACCCGAGTGTCTCTCACCATCGGGTGAAGACTTCTCGGTTAATTGAATCACAGCGCGTAGCATTTCGCAAGGGCGTAGATCACCGGCAGGAAGGTAGCATAAACTGCAGAGGTGGGAAGAAGAGAAGTGTGAAATCACTTTGTTGCGGTGGGGGGGGGGGAATGACGCAGTCTAAACTGACAAGTAACACCACGCAATCAGCAGAGCCTTTAAGATAAGTGACGAATTAGCGGATCGCTTCATCGGACAAAGAATCAGTAAGACCGGGGCAGATTATTGCAAAAGCACGTGAACACGTGAAGAAGGCTACCGATGTAAAGCTTCCTGCATTCACAGCCGTCATTCTGGTAGGGATAATCAAAATGTTCTTATGGCAAAAGTAATACAGTTCCGATAAACCTGCACACATCTCTCTCCATAATAGGTTCAGCGATAGTGTCACTATGTAGCAACTCAAACTGTGCAGATCAAAGATGAATTCTCATGAACAGTGCTGTTAAGTGCCTACGCAAGTTGCGCAGACTCCTTTAACCAAGCTCTCCAAAATGACGCAATTGTATACACTGTCCCAAGTCAGACTGACCTCAACTGAGTGCTCCTTAGTGACATTACCAATACGCGGCAACTCACGTGTCATAATATTCACATTCCCGATAGTTTATGGAGTAAACTACCATGTCATCGAATTGTGAATATGAAGGTGTAGAAAGCAGGTTCGCCTTTGGCTGAGTCAGTAAAAGAATTGTTGCTATCAGACAGTATCTGTAAACTGGGTTTCGGTGCATTCGACTTCACTCTAACCTCCTAAGTACAGGCGTCTGGTGGATAGGTCTTTTAGTCAGTGTCGATCCGAATTCAGTAGGCTACTCTGCGTTTCGTCCGCTATGCCTAGAACAGTCTAAACCAGGCATCCACAATGTTGATTCGGCCGTGTCCCCTTCTGAACCTTTCAATTTCTCATGACCCACCACCTTTGATCACCACAATTTTAGCGATCCGCAAAAGGGAACAGACTAAATCCGTGATTTCCAGTGGTCATTTTGGTATCTTTTGCTGTGATGGCTAAATGTTTAATTCGTAAATTATACCCATGGAAATTCAAGAACACGATTTTGCGAAGAGTACTCTTTTCGACAAATTTCCTCAGGCATTTACAATTATAAAATGGAAGGATAGAGTACAAATAGCTGATGCAGCCAAAGAGGTGAGAATAGTGGAATCATGACAAACAGAGACTAAAAGTCTTGACAGAGCACGTGTTTGTTGCTCGGTGGAATGTTAAGCGCATCATCCGATTATTATAGGCGCACGAAGTGATAAAAGTTGGTAAGCAACTAGGGCCAAGGTAGAAGAAGCCCTTGCAGTAAAGCCTTCTGTTTGCATAATTCCGGTTGCATTATCTTAATCGCGATCGCTTCGGCAGTCCGTAAGATTTGCGTCCTAAGACCTTTAGTTTACCATTGCTGTACTACGTAAAGTACTTGGAAGGCATCAGCGGTCCTAATTCGGTGTCCGCTTTCCACCAGACGTTCCAGGATGGAACCACTGGAGCGACTGATGATGCTTTTCCGCAAAGCCGCTGGGCAATGCTCCGCAATGCGTTTAGACAGACGCCTGGTTGTGTGTCTTACGTACCACGCACCACAGGCGCGGGTAAACAGATATAAGACTGGGACTGAACCGGAAGTCTGTCTTTAATGTATTGGGCTATAAAGGGAGCGGTTTCCGCATAGACGTCTGGGCATACAGCCGGGTAGATTCGAGCCACCGCAATGGAAATTCTTCTGGTCAACATATCGAAGGCAACATCGCCTTTAAATGGAACTGACAGGAACACATCCTTCTTAGGGACAGTAGTAATCACTTCACGGCTATCGCGGATCAATGCATACTTTTTGATGAATGGTGTCGGGTAACCGTTATCTTGCAGCGTTTTGAGAATACGGATCTTTTCAGCCTCTATCGTCTCTTGGCTGCAAATTTTCATAGCATAAAAATACAAGCAGGGAACAAGATTACGTTTGTATCTGTGTTCTGTGTACCTGTCTTTCCATTTTATAATTGTAACTGTCTAAGGGGATTTATCGAAAAGAGCAATCTGCGCAAAATTGTGTTCTTAAATTTTAATATTGGTATCACTGCTCTTTCCCTAATGGACCACTTTTCAACTTTCACAGCCTCAAGTTAACATTCATTGAGCGCCAACATCAAGCCATTTGTCCGTAATTACACAAAAGTCATCATACTAGTTAACATTGTATTCATTTGTTGTTAGCTGTTAACTGTAAAAGGATGTCACGAATTAGAAAATGTAGTAACTTCGTAACAGTCTGTTTGCCGAGAGAGTAATGCGAGCCCTGAGCCTGATGTCCTTGAGCTAGCTTTCTTATGTCTGGCTCCAGACTTGACAGCGAGAGTCGAAGCTCTCTTGCTATGATGTCCAAAATGTTTCCACATTTGCTTAGAGAAATCACTCTGCTGAATCTACACTTAACCAAGTATGTGGATGGAAATGTAAGGAAATACATTTCAGCTATTTCCCACAGTCTGGGATATCTGGTAGGAGCATCAGTCTTTATTCAAAAAAGCCCTTTTATATTGGTTGAATGTGTATCTTGTTGGTGTGTCACCTAGAAGCTCTAAGATATTTTACTGGATTTTAACTCTATCATAGCAGGACTGTACATCAAATGAATCTAAATTTCAAACCGGGATTTCCGTGTTAAGCAGGTGATGAAATCTGTCTCTCATTTCGTTTCGGAGTTGCTGCAAATGAGTGACATAAACAATCAAGTCTTCTTCTTTCAGCTCCTTCGTGACTGCAGCAAGAATTTGGAACTGTGAAAATGCCCTACGTTTCGGGTGATAACGGCTTCTTTGCTTGAGATGAGATTACTCAACTTGATTCGAAGGGTTTTCTTTAATAAGTTGAGTTTATCACAAACATTAGCAAGATAAAAAGGTCTGGCCTGGATGTTAACAGTTCACTATCATAATCAGTTCATTAAAGAAATGTGATGATGATGATGATCCCGGAGTGCACCATAACGGCAAAGGCAGTTGTCCTTGAAGAGTCATCTAACTTCTGTATTCAACAGTAGAGCATAGAAATCTGCATTCTCACACAACCGCTGGAACAAACGATCTTGAAGAGGGTTCATTTTAGTATTATTGACTATTATTATAACAGTTGACAGTGAATGGTTTAGGCGCCCGCCCAAATACTTAGCCAATAGGTGCTCTGGATGAATCACATAGTGAGTTGCATGAACAGAAAGGGGAACATTTTTGTAATGGCAATACGTAGTTTATAACTTCCGGCCGGTGCAGCCGCATCATCAACATGATTAAATACGTTAGCTAGAGGTGTAAAGCATCTCAGCTACTGTGCTGCAATACATAAAAAAGAAAACAAATACAACAGTTGTGTGCTAGCTGAGCTACCAGCAACGGATGGGCATCGTTCCGGAAAGCTATCAGCCGGCTACTAGGCAATAGGAAAAATTATTATGTAAAATCACATAACTCTACGAAATGAGATCGTGGTTGGAGGAGGAGGCTAAAAGGGATGGGGAGGGACAAAGAAACTCACAGCAGGAATGCTAATGAGGTTGGCTCCTTGCCATGTCAGCAAGTGTATCCAGCCAAATGTGTTCACCGTCTTTTGGACCCCAACCAGGGAGCCGTGAAGCTCCAGCCGAGGCCAGTTTCGAAGTGAGGGCCATCAATCTTCTCTACCAAGCCATCGCTTGGCCACCCTCCTCTTTTTCCATCCACACCCCCGGCGCGCAAACAACGCAAGTCGAGGGAGTCGGTGGGCTGGCATGCGCAACACGTGGTCCAACCATCGGAGCCTGGTGCATGAAATGACGTTGCTGAGCGGTTCAGTTACTTTTCCTGTGACCTAAACAAGGCGTCAAACACGCTCGTTACTCACGCGGTGTTCCCACCAGATGTGAGCCAAATTGCAAAGGCACCCATGATCGAACGTAACTAGCCTCTTTAGGTACGCTGATCTAAGGGGCCAGGTTTCGCAACCGTACAGTAAGGTCGAACGTACCGCTGCACTGTACACCCTACCCTTCAGGACAAGAGTGATGTAACGCCGGCGCCATACGTAGCGAAGGTTAGCAAAGGCGCCCCGAGCTTTTGCTATACGGTTCGTGATCTCATCTTCAATCGCACGGGCGCTGATACAACTTCCCAGGTAACTGAATTTCTGAACGACTTCTAGCTGGTCCCCACCAAGAGTCAGTGGAGGAGGTGATCACTGTCAATCTTGGAGAAAAGCTTTACACTTCGATGGTGCAAAGCAAAGCCCGAAGCGACTGACAACCAGTGCTATTCTGTTCAGTGCAACTTGGCAGGTCTGGGAACTGTCACAGATATGAGCAGTCGTCTGCATACTCCAAGTCAATGAGTCGTTCTATGAGTAGCTCCATACCTTCTAAGTCACGCCCTGTAAATGCAATCTCCATGACTTCGTCAATAGCGAAGTTGAAGAGGAAAAGTGACAACAGGCATCGTTGTCTCACACAGCTGGAGATATTGAAGGGTGGCGACGGCTTGCCGTAAGCCCTCACTCGGCCCGTGCTATGCGCGTATAATGCTCGGATAATATTTACACATTTCCCGGACACACGTTTCCTGAGTAGACAGTTCCAAAGGGTACACCAGTCAACCGAATCGAAGGCACCTTTGATGGCGAGGAACATGACTAAGGTGGGCCGCCAATATGTGTGACGGTGCTCCAACAACTGACGCAAGGTGAAGATGTGGTCGATGCAGCCACAACCACGACGAAACCCGGCTTGCTCCTCACGAATCTGGCCTTCACGAGTGCCAGTCAGTCTGTGAAGGAGTACAAAGGCAAGTAATTTGGAGACAATGGAGATCAGACTGATTCCTCTATGATTGCCGCATTCCGAGCGCGAGCCGCCTTTGAAGATGGGAACAATAACGGAGCGGCTCCAATCGGTTGGGACAGTATCCTGCTCCCACAGTTTCACTAGTAATGCATGTAAAGCATCAACAAGAGCAGAGCCTCCGAATTTGAAGAGGGCTGGAGGAAGATCATCTGGTCCCGCGGCTTTATTTAACTTC